GCCAACCTGAATATGCTTTTAAATGTAAGAGCAAGATTTATGAGTGCATGTCACATGTGTCAGTGGAGCACGTGTACATGCTGCACTCTAGAAGAATACAAATATCCCAGCTCTTCTTCTCGATGTTAATGAAGCATTTACTGTGCGAGCGGCGTCTTTCCGGCGTACCGACAACTGAATGTTAAACGCTATAGGAAATATGACAGGAGCCCTACTGAGCCGAGAGGAGCCGCACTCACGTGTAACAATTGTAATCACACACCAAAGTAATTTCACTGAAATGCCGTGCTACCTTAGCAAGCGTGAGATATGACACCAGGGAAGTCAGCGTAGAGAACAGGTAGTGTATGCATTTTGCGTTTCGCGGCAAGTAAAAGCGGTTTCTCAACTGTCTGTTTCACACGAGCGGAGGCAGAGGTCTGCTGCGCATCTCTGACTGTAAGACACCAACGGGTTCTGCCACACAACTGGAGGAGAAAAGCCCTTCAGAATCTTGTCCTGATGAATGGGGGCCCCTTCACAACACTGCATCACCTGAAGACTGCAGAGGAGACCAGTCGAAGAGAAGGCTGGGCCACTCCACTTGCTCTAAGGCACTTACAGAATCCATATATAAGGTTAAATATAAGTTAAACAAATTTATGAACAGCAAATCCCACACGCTGCTGCTCTGAAGTACAATTATCTTTTTCATTCCAATTCAAGTAGTGTCTAATAGTTTTCTAAGCATGAGTAGTCTTGTTATGTCTAGGTTGCTCTTCTCGTCACCTCTAAAGCAGTAACTACTTTTTAAGCAAATAGCCGTCTGATATTCTTAATCCCGTTTAATGTCAATGACCAAGGAGACTCATCGTGAACAGAATTACAGAACACCACCCAACTGTAGTCTGAGCAGCAGCGGTTTAATATGCAGAGTTTGTCCGTGCATTAACGATGCACAGGGAAAACAAATCCTCTGAGCTAAATCATATAAAAGACTAACCTATTCTTGATTTAATGCATCAGCCTTTCTCTAAGATTCAGAGTATTTCTAATTATCGTGAGTTATGATTAAGTCGAATGATGACCTCCGACACCATCTCAAACTTTTCTGATGAGCTTCAGATAGAAAAGCTGGCCCTTTTGTGTTGGGGCAGTGGTGTAGTCGATAATCTTTTGAATGCTTGACCAGTCATGCTTGGCTCAAATACCCTCACTTTCAACCGCAAGAATGGATGAGTCACTGACTACAATATGACTGACCTTTGAATGATAAATAAATAACTAAACACTATCAACCCTCACAAGAGGAGGTTAGAATATAATCATCAGCAAAAAAAAATACCCAATGTTTTATCCAAAACTTGCATTAATAACAGTGATGAAGCTTGTTTGGTTGTCAGTTCCATCCAACCAAATATGGAAGATTGCTCATGCAAATACAAAAGGTTGGAAAGTGTGTGTAGTAGGTCTATTTGGCTGTTGAACAGACCTTTGAAAACTGATAACTAAGATATCCTTCCGATTTTAATGATTCAGTTTCCAATTTTGCTCTCATTATTTGTGGTTTTTCACTATTCAGGATGCAGATTATTTTTGAGAGGCTGCGGGGTCAAAACAGGTCACATGCTTATTTTACTTTAAATGGCAACTTTCATGCAAAAACATTTCATGGTTCTAGTTTCCCAAATGTTAAATTTACTGCTTCTTCTTCAGTTATTTTAATGTTTTTTGTCTTGTTTTTTAATGAATGTTAAGGTTTTGACTGTTGATTGTACAAATTCAGCACTGTGATGGTGCCAATTTGGATTTTTGGGTAATTGCAACAGCAATTCTGACTATTTTCACAATTTTTACTTAATGCTAGGAGCCTTAGTTCTGGATGAGAGGTGTAACAGCTTCAAGAATCTAAAAGAGAAGTACCTAGTCAATTGATTAACAGAGAAAATAATCAAGAGATTAATCCTAAATAATTTGCAGTTGCAGTCTTTTCCAAGAAAGTTAACACGCCCACTGCCCAACTACACAAACAGCCAGATCCTAATAGATATAAAGCAGCTGTTTGAAAGACATTATTCATTTGAAACTATGATCAAACGAAGTTTACTTAGGAAGCGATGAGCAGTATTGAAGTTGAAATTTCTTTAAATTCCTTTAGGATCTAAATTCTGGTTCTTGATGTCCAACTCTACAGTTTACTATATTTATGCTCATGTTAAGATTTGCTCACTGTGTAAAGTACAAAGATAAAACCAACCAGGTGGATTTGTCCACAGTTTGAGGAATTACTTTGCTTCTGCCCTGTGATCACTATGCCAGATTTAATCAAAGTTAGTAGTTGTCTTTTGATTATGCACACAAACTGGAGGCTGCATATAGAGGATTTTTACCACCTGTATCCACCTCTATGTAAGGAGCTATAAGAGGATCTTAAAATAAAAGAGAATAAAAAAGCTTCTCGACAACTACATCTGTTACTTGCTGTAAACTTTACAAAAAGTAAAACGAAAGACGTCTCAAAAATACCTCCAGTAAAGGTCAACACAGGGAAGTAAAACAGACTGAACACTGGAGTTGTTGTTTTTTATTCCACCTGCAATATTCGAGTGGATGTGACATTCTCTCCTATACGCAAAAAGAGAAAATGAAAATGGCACGGATCGCGGCTACAAGCAGAAGTTTTGGGTCAGTTTCGCTGCTGCTCAGCATTTTCCTATTTAAGCAGCCTCGCAGCACCACAACAAAGCCAAATGTAGTTCATTTAAGTCCACAGGGAAGCTCATGAACTACCAGGAGGAGGATACTAGTGAGCTCAGAGGATAGAGGAAAAAAAGGTGTGTGATGTAAGATGCTTTCAGGGAGATGCGGAGGCTGAACCTTGTATGTGTTTTAGAAACAGCTGTGAGCCTATAATTCTCCACAGACCACCGCAAAAGGAAAATACATGAAGGACTCCCATTTATTCATAATATTTGCACTTGCTGGGATGAATGTAACATGCAAATGTAAACCCCCGGGCGGTAGAAATGCAATTAAGGTAAGCTAGCCTGCTAGCAAGGTTAGTGTTGCTGGTAGTGAAGTGCCAGATAGCACCCCCCTCCTCCCTAACACAGCTTCCCTCAGGACTCCCACTCTGCCGGCTGTGCAATGAACCAGCGACCTTACCACACATCTCCCTTCCCAACACAGCCACTGGTGATAAATTACCTAATCCCCCTATCCCCAGCCGTTTCTATTATACACCCTGGGCTTGTAAAGAACAGCTCGGAGGAGAGAGAAAAGGGGGTTGAGGGAAGAGACAGCAAGAGGTGGGTGTGAAGCAAAAAAAAAAAAAAAAGACTTATTGACATAGACACAATGACAGTGGGAAGATTTACAGGCCAAACAAAGGCAGGGACCAGCAAGCATAATCTTCAGCATCAAAAGCACATGTGCGCGCGGCATTTTTGATGTAGCACTCAGAACCACTTAGCACCGTGTTTCCAGATAACTGTGTCTGACAAAATCCATCAGGAGAGAGATCTACAGATAGGTGTCAGCTTCTCGTTTCAGAAACATCGCGTAAGAACGGATGAGTCTGAAAGTCTTTTTTTTTTTTGCGATTGCTAATGTGAGTTTTGTGATTCTTCTCGCAGGATGTGGGTGATTCCGAACACGCACATCTCGTGGCATCGCTGCAGCTGAGCCGAGAAGCAGCAACAAGGGACAATGACATCAGCGCTCCAACCCTCCCAGAGGAATGCTTGTTGTCCCTCACGCTGGCGCACACACACACTGCTATGGAAACAGCAGGAATGCGAGCGTGCACCGGGGGTTAAAGGGATAATGCAAGGCACACATGCACACAAGAAGAGAGAAATGACTGAAAAACAAAGAGACGGGGTCAGGCCTTTGTAAACAACGCTGACACATGACCAAAAACTGCTCCTGATCAGCTGTGGAAGACAGCCTGTGGTCACATTTTCCTCTTTTAAAAAGCACTACAGAGGTCAACTGAGGACTAAATGAGTCACCGCCATTGAAAATAGGGAAGTTAGCCAAGAGTTTCTGAATGTAAGGGAGTCAAAAAAAAAAAAACAACAAGTCTATTACTGGGGCTTGATCTGAGGGAAAGTGTTTGAGTGAGACGGGGACCACAGCAGAGTTCTGCCAAAGCCAAGATGGAACATATCCTATCGCACAGCTCACTGTACCAGCTGACTGCTATGGAAACGGCGAGAGTGTGAGAGTATGCGTGCGGCAGAAGTTGAAAGGACATGGCAACCCACGAGCACACAGTCCTTCGGCCATGATACACAGAATCGAAAACTCACATCTGCAAGCTATCTATATGTCAAACTGAGCATAGAAAAAGTTTGAAAAAAGAAAAAAAGAGGGGGGGGGAAACCGAAGCAGCTGCAGCACGCACAGAAGACAGCGCTTCCACAGAGCTGGCAGCCATTCAAACAGGCTCTCAGTAACCCACGGCAACCCAAAAACCAGCCCCCTTTTCCCCCCTTCGTCCTCCTCCTCCTCCTCCAGAGACACGGATCCATTGCCCAGTTAAGGGAGAGCTAAATGAACTAGCACACAGAGTGCCTGGGAGTAAAAGGAGGCTGTAACTTTACCCACTCTGCCCCGACTGGAGTGCAGCACTACCCCCCCTCTTAAAGGTTCAGGAGGTTAATTATTCAACATGAGAGGGGATTTGTGGGAGAACTGAGAGTGGACACAAGCCAGCAAGAAACCCCTCACCTCTTTTGTGCAATTCGTCCACTCACTCACTCACTCACTGACTTTCAGATATGCACTTATTCCCATGAATAGAGGTATGAGTGTTTTACATCCACCACCCCCCAAGCTCACTCTTGGACATCATCCATTACATGCAGAAACACAACGGTGCACCCCTCGGCACACATTGCAAGATTACACACAGCTGCGTCAGAGTGTACTCGTCCCTTCGCCACATGTTCGCAGCTTCTCGGCACACAGTTTCCAGTCTCACTCCGCTCCACTCTCCGAGCAAGGCTCCTTCTTACCGTTGTGGTTGTGCTGCAGGGTCTCCAGCATGCTGGTGGAGGAGTCTGTTGCTCCCAGCTCGGCCAGTCTGCGGCTGGTGGCGCTCAGCTCTGACCGCAGGTTGGTCACCTCCTGGCTGGCAGACTGAATGGCCCCATCGATGCGCTGGGCCAGCTGCTTGTTGTCATCCATCATTTTCAGGATTTTTGCCTGAGGAAGAGAGGGGAATCCAGACAAGGTGTCATGCTGACAAGTTGACCATTTCCTGTGAAGGAAGGTGTCCCCAAATAAATTCCTCCTCTCTCCTCCCCCTTTTTTCTTTCCTGACTGTTCCCTTTTTGGGAGAAAGCCAAGTTAAATCCTCAAAGCAGTGTGTCCTTTCCCTTAAAGAGAGGCATCCGGCTCTTTGGGGGGGGGGTGTGTGTGTTGTGTTTGCTGGAAGGAGTGTACGCTTTAGAGATGGTGCATGTGTGGTGTGAGTGTGTGTCAGTGTGCGAGCATGCCTGTGTGCGTTTCTGAGAGTTCCATAACAGCACGAGTGTGTGTGTGTGTGTGTGTGTGTGTGTGTGTTAGAGAGCCAGCACTGCCCCTGTGAAATGTGCTCCCCGCAGATGACTGTTGAAAGGACACAGAGCATTGAGAGATGACAAGCACCTTTTTAAATGGACTGTACCACTTGCCGAGAGAGTCGAGGGGGGGGGGGGAGAGAAAGCAGGCTAGACCATACGAGCACATGGGAGCCAGAGACACACCGACACAGCTGTATTCAGGAGATATTGCTGCAAGGTTCTGGGGTTGTGAGTTTGACCGAACTGACTCGCAACAAATTCCTGCAGTCGTGTGAAAATGGACTTTTTAGTGAAACGCTGCAGCTTTTTCCCCCCCCTTTCTCTTGTCTTTCTGTGAGCACTGCATGCACCTCCTGCCGCGGACAAAGGGAAGGAAATCATTAGTTTAACAAAGGGGCAGTTGTGGAAAGAAAACAATAATAGTTATGCAAACAAAGCTTTCATTACAGTATCACAGCGAGGTATTCCTCCTGCAAAGAAAGGCATTTTTAAAGCTCTACTGTCATGTGTTGGAAAGGCTTAACATAGCAGACTGGCAGGATAAAATTAGGAGAGGGACACATTTATTTTTACACTAAAAGTGGTTGAATGAACCTTAACCGCAGTAGGGTGGTTGAAAAGTCATTCAACAAAAATTCCAAAACATTTGCTTGTTCCAGGATCTCAAATGTTATTTTATGAGAGGGGGAAATGGTTTTTAGCAGTTTTTCACTATTTTGGATTAAGAGATTGCTTAAGATTGACAGATGATCGATATAGTTGCAGGATGAACCGTGCTGATCAAACACAAAAAGATCTGTAATAACATGCTAAGTAGCATTAGCAACAAGTGCATAATCATCATGATACGAGTAGAACGTTAAGCAAAGAGATCTGAGCTGATCGAGCTAGCCTCGTTCTTTCTAACATTACCTCTAAAAAAGAGAGAATTACTCTCGCTCATATTTTCTAACCCCATTTTCACAGTCAGACAGGTGAATTCAACCATTTTTCTAAACTTCAGGCAGACCGCCAAATCTCAAAATGACCCGCACGACGCGTGACTAACAATGTCACACAAATAGCGTTCCTGTATCTTAAATCTATCCCTTCCTAAGTCGCGCTCTGCCATTCTGTTGTTTTCACTCCATCTGCTGAGCAAAATGGTAAAAAAAAAAAAGCCTACAAATACAGGCAGCAGACTCACGGACTGCCACCTGCTTACAGATAAGGCTAATCATTCACAGTGAATGAAACATTAATGCTTCTTGCTCCCCTTCGCAGCACCACAGAGGGGTATTGTGTTCGGAGTATCTGCAGTCGGGGTGCGAAAACTGTTGCTTTTATTGTAGGAGCATAGTGAGACACTGGCATTACTTTGAAAATGTCAGACATCCTCCCCCCAAACCTCAAAAAAAAAAAAAAAAATCATAGAAAAGACAGATGGATACTAGAAGCTTACAGGACAGAAGAGCCTCATAATAAATCAAGAGCAGCTCAATAGTGAGACTGAAGAGCTGACAGGGAATGAACATGTCTGTCAATAGGCATCAGATAGGACTTAAAGGATTATGCCGTCTTTTTCTTCTCGTCGCTCTGCATGTATGTGCAATGCTGATTTCTTTGATAAATACGCGAGATTGTCCTCCTGCATTTGCAACGGTGGTCATTTCACAGGAGTGATTTGTGTTGCGTCTGTGCTCTTCCGGCTGGACGTGCCCGGCTGGAGAAGGATGATGTCACATATTTCCACATACCAATCAGAAATGAACAACATAAGCATCCGAATGAGAGCGTGATGACAGCTGTGGGGCTCACGTTACCAGGGCGACAACAGCGTCGATCAAGTCAGATGCAATCGCAACCTCACCGTCCCGATGGAAGAAGAGCCAATCTACAAGATGCATTAAAACAACAACTAAAGATGCTTTAAACGTCGGCTTTAACTGTTACTTAGCACAGGATGTTTAATGTTACACAGAAATACTTAACGCTGCATTTATCAGCATCATGACGACATGTTGAGGCTGAGCAATATGGGCAAACACTGAAAACTCCACAGGGCATCTTAGAATGCGAGATCCAAGGAGTTTATTTAGGTTTTGTGATTGAATCCTGAGCAAATCCAAGTTGTTGTTGTGTTTCTAAACTATCATTTCTTTTATAATTAAAAACCTGATTCCTTCCCTTAAGGCGGCAACAACAACAGAAGCAGCTTTAAAATTAAAATAAGATTGTAACATTGTCTTATTATTTTATTAAATGACTTGTCTCATTCCCATCGCAGGAAAAACTGATTGTGAATCCAGACGCGAGTGACTGCTGCTGGGGTTTGAGCTAACGTTACCACTAGAGGCTTGCTTGTCAGCTTGGTTGCTCATGCTATCGCTAACAGCTTGGGAGCGCAGACTCTGACTTTCTGTGTACTCAGTGGGATGTTAAGACCTTTTGAAGCGCTGGAAGAGGTTTGTTGCGTTTCTCATTCAAGTGGGCACAGGCCACCCGTTAAGTTAGGCCCAAAATGAGTCATACCTGTGTCAAAATTTGATTTAGAGTGAATATTTATTCCACTAGTCGGCTTCTTCTGGTGGGAAATGACATGAAAAAGGTGGCAATTAATGGTAAGACATTGTGTTGGAGATGTTAATTATACAGTTAATCTATTTTTGTGGATTTTATTTCATTTTTTAACCAACAATGCCATGTCTGTGATCATTCATACCTCTCTCAGTAATCAGCGGCAGCCCTTTATTTGTGTCTACAGCAGTCAAATGACTCTATTAACAGCTTTTTGCATGTCTCCCCTGGGATTTTATTCCAATCCTTTTTTGTAATGGCCTCCAGGTCTTTGAGGTTAAAAGGTTTCCTTGCCATCACTTCTGTTCTCAGGTCCTGCCACAGATTCTCAGTTGGATCCAGGTCTGGACTGAACACTAATAAAATGTTCATATTGTTTTCTGTTAACCATTTGAAGAGCTTATTTGCAAAAGAAGATAACTCCATCTTCACAAACCTTCAGAAAACCCACTTTTCCATCGTCTACCTGAGACAATATCAATAATCTTAAGTTGTCTCTATTTTTGTCATGTCATTTCTACTGAATCAAATCCACTCAACTTCAGTTTGATTGATATCATCTCAGGCAAACAACAACAAAAAAAAATACATTTTCTGAAAATCTCAAACATGGAGGTATCTGTTTTTGCAAATGAACTCTTCATTTCTTGACGAGATTGATGTTTCGGATCATTGTCTTGCTGGAAGGTCTAATACCTAGGGCTAGATGTTTCTTCTCACTTTTTCTGACTACAAAACTGATGACCAGAAGCTTTCTGCGTCATCCAGGTGAGCTTTGGCTGAAGTTAGGGCAAGTTTTTATGCCTACTTTGGGAAATGTCCTCCTTGTTGGGCATCCATGGAGAACAGGCTTGTGCGTGTCCGCTGGTGATGTTGTTACCAGAGTTCAGATTCATCATGATGGCTGCCTCGGTGGTAATCCGTAGGTTTTTCTTGGCATCTTGCATCATTCTTGCCAGTGCAGGGGTCACTTTTGGCCTCCTACCACACCGTTTGAGATTCTTCACAGTGTGGGAGTCTTCACAATGACGCTGCTTTTCCCTGATCCATTTGTTTTTTCTTCTTCTCTGATTACACCATTTTTCCGTTATAATACATTGTTTTTATTCTATTTGATTAGTTCTCTGTATGTGTTGCCTTGAGTTCAGTCTGAATATAAGATTGTGTAAAGTTGAATTATGCGTACAATTATATTCACTTTTGCACTTAGCCTTTCCAGCATTATGGAGCTAGGAGTAGCTTTTCCTCTCCAACAGCCAGGACAGGTCAAAGCTTGTCCTCCTGTGCTTGTCGGGAGGGTGCAGCTACAACATTATCAGCAGGAGAGCTGCTACTGTTCTGGCCAGGACTGGCTTCCCTGCCATCAGCTGCAAAGCTTTTATCAACCTCACTGCAGTCGCCACATTCAGGTTGGGTGTGTTTTAAAAAATGCAGATACAGTGGGCCTGGCTGCTGTCCACTTTCAGGTGAATGAACTCTTGTCGGGAAGTTTCTCAGGAGTTACTGTCACCTGTTCCTCATCTCACAACTCACAGAAGTAGTGTTGTCATGCTGTTAGTATCCAGCTGAGAGAAGCTATTTTGACACCACAGACCCTATATATAATAATTAGTTGCAAAAATAGACACTTATAATCAACTCTTGTGCAAATCTCGAAAAACTGCCCCAGCTCCCGATCAACACCTCAACTTAACGCCGCATTTCTCTGCTGCTATAATCTGACGTTAGGCTGCCAAAGCATGTCCACCCTCTCAGCAGAGCAGCTATGTTATTGTTTCCCAAGGTTGTGTGAACTAAGACCCCGACGCCTCCTGCATGCGTTAAGCACAGATCAGCCACCAACCCTGCACAAGCTGGAGGAGCGGGCGACTGCTGCGTACTCCCAGACAACGCTACCATAGCCTCGGGCGCTCTGAGCTTGTATATGTGTGTGTGTGTGTGGGCCAAGTATTGAGGTCCACATAGTTGTCTCAAATAAAACTCAACTGACCGCCCGCTACAGTATGCAAGCAAGGAGATGGGAAACAACAACGCACACACACACACATATATCGTCCACCCGTTCATCCATCTGCCCAGACACGAGTCACCCCTCCCACTCGGTAAGTGAACATCATGTTGTTATTTATAGACGACCCTGCTGCCGCATATGATACATTAGTCAGAGGGGAACGCAGGCACACACACACACACACACTCATACTGACACACAAACACTAGGGGCTAATAATCCCAAAGTCATCTGATGTTCATTAATGAAACTCA